GGAGAGGTCATGATTTGAATAAGATGTTGCCCACATCCTTAGGCATTTGAATACTTGGTCCCCTGGTTGGTGTTGCTGTTCTTTTCGGGAGACTTAGCAGATGTGGCCTTGCTGGAGGAAGCACGTCACCAAGGGCAGGCTCTGATGTTTCAGAAGCCACTTGCTATTTTCAGTTCATCTTTCTTAGATTTGGGAGGCACTTTTTGCCTTATTGGTCTTTTGCCTGTACATTTTGGTGTACAATTTTTTGTTTTGTTTCCTGTGAGATTCTCTTTTTTGTAATTTGTTTTTTTTTTAAAGAGGGCATGGATTTGGGTGGGTAGAGGATAGGCAGGATGTAATAGCTGGAAAAGGGGGAAATGTGATCAGAATATATTATATAAAAATATTTTTCAATCAAAACCACAAAAAATAATAAAAAGGTGTGAGCTCTCGGCTTGTTGCTCACACCATGCCTGCTGCTACACTTCCCTTTCATGATGATGATGGACTCTGATCCCTCTGGAACTATACCCTCTAAATAAACCCTTCCTTCTTTCTATAAGTTGCCTTAGTCATGGTATTTTATCACAGCAAAAGAAAAGTAACTACAACAAATCATAAAGGGGAACTTAGTACTACCACAATTAATAGAGGAATAATGGTTTGCAACTAAATACCCATCCTTATGACCCAAGGTATGTGCAACTATCACATCTCATCAAAGAAACTTCTTTTATTTTCAGAAGATGGATACTATTAGAGAGAGAGCTATAACTGGTTTAAAAAAGTCAGACAAAAAGATGACTGTGAAGGTCACAGCCCTAAATGGGACATCTATATCACAACCCCTACATGTAAGTCTCAGGGAAAACTGTGTAACAGTGGGCAGAAAGACTGTAAGAACCTAAGTAAGGACTGAGATGGCAGCTGGGCAGGGAAAGGATGTAATTCTCACGAACACTCAACAACATGGTTGCTTGTATAAGACCTATAAAACAACACCAATTTACATGTCAACATGGATAGAGAAAGTTTCATAAACCCCCAAGCCTCCACCCCCTAGATGAAGAGCTATAGGCAGTCAATGGATGCTAATAAAGGAGGAACCAGGTTTATTTCTTTTTTTCAGAAACAAGACCCCAATCCTAAGGTTTCATACCCAAATACATGCAAATAAGGGCAACAAAAGTTGGACTCTTATGTTTTATATATACATATACCACACACAACTAGAGGTCATGAATTTGACAGGGTGTGCTTGTGGACACAGGACGAGCTGGAAGGAGGAAAAGGGTACAAAGGATAAAAATAGTGTACCCATGTATGGAATCTTCAAATAATAACAAAAAATTATTTTTAAAAAAAGGTTACATGGCTGGGCATTGGTGGTGCACACATTTAATCCCAGCACTCGGGAGGCAGAGGCAGGCAGATCTCTGTGAGTTCGAGACCAGCCTGGTCTACAAGAGCTAGTTCCAGGACAGCCTCCAAAGCCACAGAGAAACTCTGTCTCAAAAAAACAAAAAAGGGGGTACATGAAGTTGGGGAGAAACAAACCAATGTCTGATTTGCCTTAAGTCCCACTCTACAAGATGGAACCCATACCTGACACTGTTTGGGAGACCATGGACCTGAGACTAGATAGTTCAGGGAACCTAGTGGAAAACCAAATCCTGCTTTTATTTTTTAAAAAATGTAACAATAAAATGACTCCTAATGGAGCCAGGCAGTGGTGGCACACACTTTTATTCCCAGCACTAGGGACACAGAGGCAGGCAAGATCTCTGTGAGTTCGAGGCCAGCCTAGTCTACAAGAGCTAGCTCCAGCAAGGCTCCAAAGCTACATAGAGAAACCCTGTTTCGAGAAAAAAATAAGGAAAAAATGACTCCTAATGATATGCTGCCACACTCATAAATCAGTGCCTTGTTCAGCCATTATCAGAGAAGATTTGTTCTGAAGCAGATGAGAGCAAATACATAGACAAACAGCCAGATACTATGCAGAAAGTGAGACCTTAGAACACTCAACCCTAAAATGGATGTCTCCATCAAATGCTTCCCTTCATGACTCAGAGAAACTTGTGAAAGAGTGTAAAAGCCAGAGGGAATAAGGGACACGAAGAAAACAAGGCTCTCTAAATCAACAGGATTGATGCACACATAAACTCAGAGAGTCTGAGGCAGCATGCACAGGGCCTGCAAGAGTCTGTACCAGCTGCTCTAAGTATATATTATAGCTTCCAGTTTAGTGTTTTTATGGGATTTTTGAGAATGCAGATGATACATATATATGAACATGTGAACCTTGGGTCAGCAAGTGAAATACCTTGGAGTGCACCATTTAAAAAGGTACTCACTTACTCTCAGATTACTGCAAGAAGCAAGCTTATACCTGTAAGACCCTGAGAATAAATCCTCAAGTTTTGAGCCCCAGTTACCTTATTGTCTTACCCTTGCTCACCCCAGATTCTAAGAATGACATTTAAGTAAATTCTTTGACAATTTCATACATGCATTCTTTGTTATGGGCATTTTCACCTCTCTCTCTCTGTCTCTCTCTCTCTCTCTCTCTCTGTCTCTCTCTCTCTTCATGAGCATGAGTGTGTGGGGTTTTTACTGGAACATGGGCAATGTATCAATGGCTATATCACTGAGGAAATGACTGCCTGTATTCAGCACACATTAACTGCTCACAGTCCTTTAGTAAGGTGTGGGAGCCTCATAAACCACTCTGTCATGTATGATGAAATAGTAAGAAGTCTAATCTTGTGCAGGTAACCTCACACAGTGTAAATTTTTTCAGTTCCAATTTCCTGAAATTTCATATTCATTTAAATAAAGTTCCATTGTGTGTGTGTGTGCATGTGTGTGCGTGTGTGTGTGTGTGTGTGTGTGTGTGTGTGTGTGTGTATTACAATTTCATTACCAGTTCATTGATTGATGGACATCTAGGCTATTTCCATTTCCTGGTATTGAGAATAATTTTTGATCACTCTCTTACCTATCTATGCATTCCCTTTATTACTCTGACTCCAGCAATCCTGCAGTAAAACCTCCAACCCACTGACGCTTCCAATTTTTCACTGTGTCTCATTCCCTTAATGTCTTCTGATACACCCACTTAAAATTGTAGAAGGATTCATTATAATTACTCCAATTTTACTGATAGTTTTCACTCATTGTATTCATTTTACAAAACTGAAAGTCTAGTTAAGTCCAACTTAGCACTGACTTTTGTTCGTTCATTCATTCAGCAGAATGCAGAAGTTATATAAAATTATACAACTATATCTTTATTTTTGAGCATTATCAAATGAGTCTTAATCCTATTGGCAAGCACAAGACACTTCCTTAGTCATTCATTTCCTGCTTTCATGAATAATTAGTTTATACTTTATCCTGTCTTCTCAAATCTCCTATACATATCTCCCAATGTCATCACTTGACAGCAAGTTTAAGAGAAATGAAAAGATAATCTATCAAAGGAGAGTGACAGAGAGCATCTGATAAGGTAAGAATAAAACAAGGAGTACTAGAAGTCAATTGTGACTCAAAGAATTGTCAACTGTATTCACTACTGCTAATAGGTAAAATATGATGAGGACAAGGTCACCAGTGACCTTAACAAAAGCAGTTTGGTATGGCTTTCTGACAAAAGCTTGACAGGAGAAAGCTCCAGGAGATATATAGACAACATCTCAGAGGAGTTGTTTTACCAAAGAGAAAAAATAAACTAGGAAGTGGTTGGTAAGAAGATAATTGAGACAGTTTTTGTTTTAAGTTTGTGATCATTTGAATAGGACAAGAGTATATTGATAAGCTATGAGAATAATTCAGTAAAAGAGAATCCAAAGGCAACAACAGGTCATTTCAGAAGCAAGTGTTTAAATTGAGAGACTGGATATAGGAAGGAGTGTGGATAATTTACCCAAAACAATGGTTGAGAAGATAAAATATACTGCATGATGCCTGGTATATGCAGAAAGGTCGTAGTAGGAATCTGTGGAAATTCTTCTGGGGATACAACACAGGGCTGTGTGGATGCTAGGCAAATGCTCTATCATGAGCTAAATTCTTTGCCCCTGAAACAGTATTTTTAAAATCTGAAGTTTCTTTTATTTTTAAAATATCATTACTATCATCATCACTAGGGGTGTGTGTGTGGTGTGTGTGTGTAGGACACATGTTGAGGTTAGAGGATGAATGATTTTAGTTCACAAAGAGAAGTTTCCCACAGGCCTTGGCCCATTACAAGGAAGTTGGACCCAACCCCGGGCACATCCTATGGTTTAGATGGGGGCAATCGCCAAGACAACCCTCTTTGGGTCACACCTGGCTGGCCAACAGACAATCAAGGACTTTCCTGAGTACATTCTGTGGTTTTTCCTTTGTAGAAAACCAGGTCACACCTAGGTGACCTCGTTAATATGAAATCATACTTTGTAATCAATCACTTTGTACCCCATGCACGTATGCTGATTTGCAGTTTTTCCCTATAAAAGGAGCCTATAACCCTTGCTAGGGTGTGCAGCTTTCCCGGTAATGATGACACCTGAATGGGCATTCGTTCAATAAACTCTCTTGCTTTTGCAGCTCTTGGTTTGGTTTCTGAGTCTCTGGGGCTCCTCGAGATCCTGTGGCCCTTAGGGGTCTGGGGTCTTTCAAGGACAACTTTGTGAATTTGGTTCTTGCTTTCTACTTTTATGTGAGTTCAGGGGATTGAGCTTAGGTCACCAGGTTTGTAACAAATGAATGCCTTTACCCACTGACTCATCTCAGAGATCCTGGGGTTTCTTTTAAAATTAGTGTTTTGATAGGTTTATTTTGTTTCTTTTAAACATAAATCTGTTGCCTCAAAAGAAAAATAAACAAGACAATTCTACAAGAAGCTTGGTATGAAAATGTGAGACAAAACAGTGTAAAAGGAGAGCTCTTCTATGCCTAGCTGATGGTGACTCTATGAATTCTTTTTCAAAAAGGAAAAGAGCATATTATATTAGTGGTTACATATGAATTACCTCTAGAGCAAACTGTATAGCCAAACTTAGGATTTTGGTAGGTGAAACTTCACTTTTAAATAGGCCATTATCATCCAGTTCTTCATTTGTTAATAATTTCTTTAAAGTACTCAGTACCTGCAAAGCTGAAACAAACAATAAAAATGTAAGATATTTTCACCAAAGGTAATATTTATTGATTTTGTTAATTACAACATGATAGATTTTGAATCACCTTAAGATATTCATATCTCTAGAAATATCCCTAGCCCTATGAAAAGGTAGGGTAGAAATATATCAAACCATACAAATAAATATATATCTACTTAGAAATTTATATTTATCATCAATTTAAATGAAATAGTTTAAACATCTGTGGTCTTTCTTGGGGAGGGATATTCTCACTATAAGCTCTGGCTGGCCTGGAACTTACTACATAGACTAGGCTGGCTTTGAATTCATAGAGATCTACCTGTTTCTGCCTCCCAAGTACTGGCATTAAAGATGTATGCTACTGCCATGACTAACTTGTGTCTTTTATAACAGCAAAACATCAATTTTAGTTTAATAATACATTCTGAGTATGTCTCAGAATAAAAAGTAAAAGAGAAATAAATAAAATAAAATAAGTAAGTCTAACATTATTAACAATCATATTACATAGATGGGTATATAATTTAGTGGTATAATTTAGTGGTAGAGTCCTTGCCTAGAATGTACGTGGCCCTGAGTTAATTCCCTACTATTTGAAAATAAAATAAAATAAGTAAGTCTAACATTATTAACAATCATATTACATATAAATAACCAACTGAAAGGCAAAGATGATTAGATTAAAACAAAATTTTCAATTTTATACTACCATCAAGAAACATATTTAAAAATTCTTTAATGGCATATATTCAGTTTATACAGTATTGGGTTTCATAAACACAGTTTCATTCAGTTCAGTATATACGCGGGTCATATTCTCTTCCCTTATCTTCCTCCTTCCTCCTTCCCTCCTCTCCTACTAGTCTCCTTCCTTCCCTTAGTCTCCCATCTACACTAACAATGTTTATATACATTAATAGTCTTATGCATTTATAAAAAAAAACTAGGATCCACCAATTATGGAAAGCATGTATTATATGTCTTTTTGACTCTCAAACATTCCCAAGTTTGACTCGTTTCACTTAATATGATAGTCTATAGCTGTATTCATTTTCCAGCAAATGACAAAGTTTTATTCTTCTTTATGCCTGAAAATTTTTATTGTGTGTATACACAACATTTAAAAATATTTAAATATTTGTTTGTGTATATGACATGCACATGGGTGCCTGTGTGTGACAGCAAATGTGTGGAATTTAGTAGAATACTTTGTGGAGTTGGTTCTGGAATCAAATTCAGATTGCCAGGCTTTCAGGGCAAGTGTCTTTACCCACTGAGCCACCTCACCCCATCTTTTTTTATTTCTCTAAGACAGACTCTCATGAAGACAAAACTGAACTTGAATTTGTTATGTAGCCAAGGATGACCTTGAACTTCTGATCCTCCTGCTCCCACCTGTCCAGTGGTGGGATTACATACCAGATTTTATGTGGTGCCAGGGATCAAACCCAGAGCATCATGCATGCTAGTCAAGCCCTCTACAAACTGATCTACATCCTAGCCACAATATAACATTTTCTTTATGCATATATCTGTTGACAACACCTAAGCTAATTACATACTTTGGCTATTGTGAAGAAAGAATAAAAGACAATGTTGTTTTAAAATGTAGGACAAAATATACTATAGTAAATGTAAGCAAAAGCAGTAGTCTCTTTATTAATGACAAACAGATTCCAGAACAGAGAACAATTATCTAAGATAGGATATTTCAGGCTGATAAATGAATCAATTCAATGAGGACATAAACCTAATTGTTTATGGATCCAATGACAAAATTTCATAATATAAGATGCAAAAATGGGCTAGTGAGATGTGTTAAGGCACTCATTCACAACCCTGATGATCTGAGTTTTATCCCTGTGACCCACACAGTGGAAGGAAAGAGACCAATTCTGGAAGTTGTACACACACACACACACACACACACACACACACACACACACACACACATTTTTTTTTTTTTTATATCAATCCAGACTAGCTCCATGGGTGTCAGGCTTCAGACCTGCTCCAGTAGACAAAAGTCTAGGCTCACTCCAATATACCTAGGTACTAGAAAACTCTCTTGCTTCTCCCAACCCCTACCACACACACACACACACACACACACACACACACACTTACTTCATATCTGCATCAGCTAGCCTCAACAAACTCAGTCTCAAAATCCATTACAGAAGATACAAGCACCAGACCCATCTCCTAGTCTGCATCTTGGGATTATCAGTGCTGCCACACTACCTCTAGAAATGTAGCCTAGCCTAGAACATGGAGGATGTGGGTATTGGCCTGGTATTTGGGTCCTAAGAAACTTTTCTAGAACATAGATATGTGGCCTGAAGATTCAGTCCATAAGGATTGTCCAGGTTACTTAGGCATTAAGAGCTATTCTGAAATGGCTACAAAATGACATTCCTGGGACTTGGTCCCTAGAGGCCAGCACTTGGCAGGACTTGGATGTTTAGGCTAATGGTTCATCCCAAAGCAATGTCAGCTAGTATAGACCTAAAAATACTGATAGCCCCAGTAGATACAGTTTTCAGGACCTCTCTCTAAGATCAGGTTACAGGACCTCTCTCTAAGATCGGGTTATAGCATCACCACAAAGACTCAATCATTAGATACATTCAATGGATCTACCTCCATATCTAAACCTATATTTCCAGACACAAGCTCCACTGTGAGTTCAAGGCCAGTCTGGTCTACAGAGTGAATTCCAGAGGTGTTACACAGAGAAACCCTGTCCCGAAAACCAAAAATAAAATAAAATAAAATAAAACAAACCAAAAAGGATCCAAGCTTGACTCCCTACTCCCATATGACAGCTCAAAACTATCTGTAACTGCAGTCCTAGGGGATGTGATGCCTTTTTCTGGCTTCTGCCAGCAATAGGCATACATGTGATACACAGGCATACACTCAGGCAAAACACATAAAATAATTTTTAATTAAATAATAAAAATGAAAATATAAAAACAAAACAAAGCTAGACATATTGGTTCATGTCTATATCCATAGCACACAGAATGCAGAGGCTGGAAGATCACAAGTTCCAGGTTAGCCTGGCCTACACAGTGATTTCCAGTTCAGCCAAGGTTACATAGCTACATGTCTCAAAACAAAAACACAAACAGAAATTCTGTAGTTGAAAAGTACAGTAAAATGCATCAGTGATAGGCCTGATCAGGTAGAAGAAAGAAACTGAACTCAAAGACAATTTAAAATATGTAGCCAAATTAGAGACAAGAAAAATGGTAAGGAATGAAGAATTGTGCAATTTATGGGACAGCATCAAGAGAGCAAATGCTCAAATTGTTATAATAAAAGAAGCAGGCCAGGTGTTGGTGGCGAAGGCCTTTAATCCCAGCACTAGGCCAGCCTGGTCTACTGAGAGAGTTCCAGGACAGCCTCCAAAGCTACAGAGAAACCCTCTCTCTAAAAACCAAAACAAAAAGAAGAAGAAGAAGAAGAAGAAGAAGAAGAAGAAGAAGAAGAAGAAGAAGAAGAAGAAGAAGAAGAAGAAGAAGAGGAAGAAGAGGAGGAAGAGGTGGAGGGGGAGGGGGAGGAGGAGGAGGAGGAGGAGGAGGAAGAGATACAGAGAGATAGAATAATTCATTTAAAGAAAAAAACAACAGAAAACAAATATATTTCAGAAAAGATGTTAGTATCCATTTAGACTAAACTTTCGAGGAAGGTAACAACGGTCAAAGCAGATTTAACACAAACAGGACTTAAGCAACACACTATCAAATAATATGAAACCAAAGATTGAGAGGGGATCTTGACAGCAGCAGCTGAAAAGAAGCAACACATATAAGAAGGGTGTGCCAATAGTCTAGCAGCACTAATGTTTCTTGGCAGAAACATCACCGGCCATGAAAAATTGAGGAGACAGATCCAAAGTACAGATGGAAAAAACTGCTAACTAGGAATACTTGGCAAGGAAATGAAGGGCAAATGAAAATTCCCAGATAAACAAACACTGAAGGAGCTGAAGGAAAAATATGTTGATTAGCAAGACAAAAACTAAACCATGAAAGTACACAGTTAAATTCAAAATAGTCTTGATAAGTGTGTAACTCACTTAGAGCTTTAGAATGAAAGTTAATTATTAAATTAATATCTGTAATAATTTTAAAGAATACTTAATATAGAAATAAAAGTTGTATTGAAAATATAAACTATGGGGAGGCAGGTGGATGGTGTGATCAAAGTAAAGTAATTATCAGCTTAAAACAGTCTCTTTATTACAAGATGTTTTAAATAAACTTGTGGTAATCACAAAAACAAACTATAATTATTATATAACATATAAAGTAATCAAAGCAGATAACTACAGAATATCATCTGATTACAAAGGAAGACAACAGGTAGAAAGGGACAAAAGATCTATAAAACAAAAAGAATTAGTGGAATGGCAATAATAAGTCTTTGTATAAGGATAAAAAAAAAGAAAGGCAAAGTGGGTACCTTTCAGTGGGCCCTGCCAATTTATGGCACTAAGCAAACACACCATGCACAACAGAATTAGTGCAAGAGGTTTACTGGGGGAGGAAGACGGGGCAAGTGAAAGAGTGAAAGGCCCTGTCAGAGTTGGGGCATGAGACAGGCAGGCAGACAGTGAAGAAACAAGAGGAAAAAGAGAGGCAAGAGAGCAAGCTGTGCCTGGCGAGCACTTTTAAGGGGTGCATATGTCGCATAGCTGATGGTGAAAAGGCACCTGATGACAAGTGATGACATAACTGCTTTGGTGGCAGAGGCAGGCCATATATACTAATAATTGCCTTGATGTAAATGCATTAATTTTATAATCAAAAGACACAGAGTCAGTAAATGGATTAAAACCAAGAAAATATTCTATCTATAAGATACTCACTTTTCAAGAAAGCCTTTTAAGGACACATAGTATGAATGTGATGAGGTAGAAAAAGACATTCCACATAAATGGATGACAAAATAGAGCAAGATTATCTGTATTTAGACCAAATAT